TTTGGAGGAAGTCTCTGGCGGGAGCCTCGTCTTTGAGTGAATTGTGAAGAAGTCTCAGGCGGGAGCCCCCTCCCTATGGGGCCCGCAGATCATGTTGGTAATCCGAGCGGGTCATCGGAACCCTGTAACTGTCGTCACTTTTGGGCTCCTCAAGCCTGAATTGGAGGAAGTCTCAGGCGGGAGCCTCGTCTGTGAGTGAATTGTGAGGAAGTCTCAGGCGGGAGCCCCCTCCCTATGGGGCCCGCAGATCATGTTGGTAATCCGAGCGGGTCATCGGAACCCTGTAACTGTCGTCACTTTTGGGCTCGTCAAGCCTGAATTTGGAGGAAGTCTCTGGCGGGAGCCTCGTCTTTGAGTGAATTGTGAAGAAGTCTCAGGCGGGAGCCCCCTCCCTATGGGGCCCGCAGATCATGTTGGTAATCCGAGCGGGTCATCGGAACCCTGTAACTGTCGTCACTTTTGGGCTCCTCAAGCCTGAATATGGAGGAAGTCTCAGGCGGGAGCCTCGTCTGTGAGTGAACTGCGAGGAAGTCTCAGGCGGGAGCCCCCTCCCTATGGGGCCCGCAGATCATGTTGGTAATCCGAGCAGGTCATCCAAAACCTGTAACTGTCGTCAATGTTGGGTTCTCGCGCTGCCAGAACGCAGTTCCCAGGCCACACTTTGGATGCAACAAGGAAGTTTTTGGGCTCCTCAGGTCGCCGAGGTGCTGCGACAGGGCGCCGAAGGCGCCGACGACGACGGCCAGGCCGAGGCGCGGGCGCGGAGCTTGCTGATGTTCAGGCCCAGCGAAAGGGAGTTCACATGGCAGAGCTCGGGGGCGCACAGCGTGCGCCGCTCGGGGTTCACCCTGACGCACGCGTCCTACCTGACCTCCACGCTGTCGCAGGGCCAGACGCTGCGCAAGGGCGTCACCATCGACTGCGCGAGAGACGAGGACGCTGGCCGCACGGGCATGTCGGACGAGCAGTGGTGGCTGCACCTCTACGTCATGTTCTCCCGCGCCACGTGCATGCGGAACATGCTGATCCTGCGGCCGCCGCCGCGAGAGTTCCTGGAGTGCGGGCCGCCGGCGTCCCTGCGGAAGGCGCTCCTGGAGTTCGACAAGAGAACGGTTTTGTCCAGGGCGGAGGCGAAGCAGCTCGCGGCAGAGCTGGGCTTCGTGCTGCCTTCCGCCTGAGCGCGGCTGCGCCTCGCTCGAAGCCCGCGGGGTTGTCCCAACGGCTTGGTCTTGCGCGCCAACGGCTCGCGGGGTTGTCCCGACAGCCTGGCCCGCGGGGTTGTCCCAACGGCTGCGCGACGTGACCTGTAGAGAACGCGCCTGTGCTGGCCGTGGCGGCGACGGCGCCGAGGAACATCGACATGCGCGCTCATGCAACAGGAAGGGGAGGAGGTGGCGGGGCGCGGAACAAACAGGGGGGCGAGGATGGGGACAACGTAAGGAGTGGAAGGGGGGCCCGCGCCAAGGCGAGAGGAAATATACGCAGAAGAGACAGCCAGGACGCCTCACCAACCACGAGGACGACGGTGATGGCTTTTTCCAGATTCGCCCAGAGGATTCTTATGTGGGGTTCTTCCGTCGGAGTAATTTTAAATGATTATTACTATTATTATTACTACGATTACTACTACTACTATTACTATTACTATTATTATTACTATTCGTATTATTACTATTTCTTTTACTATTACTATCGCTATTATTATTACTATTACTATTACTAATACCAATACTATTACTAATCCTATTACTATTATTATTACTATTACTATTACTATGACTATGACTATGGCTATTACTATTACTATTACTATTACTATTACTATTACTGTTACTATTACTATTACTATCACTATCACTATTACTATTACTATTACTATTACTATTACTATTACTATTACTATTACTATTACTATTACTATTACTATTACTATTACTATTACTATTACTATTACTATTACTATTATTATTACTATTACTATTACTATTACTATTTCTATTACTATTACTATTACTATTACTATTACTATTACTATTACTATTACTATTACTATTACTATTACTATGGTTATTACTATTACTATTACTATTGCTATTACTATTACTGTTACTATTACTATTACTATTACTATCACTATTACTATTACTATTACTATTACTATTACTATTACTATTACTATTACTATTACTATTACTATTACTATTACTATTACTATTACTATTACTATTACTATTACTATTACTATTACTATTACTATTACTAGTACTATTACTATTACTATACTATTACTATTACTATTACTATTACTATTACTTACTTACTATTACTATTACTATTACTATTACTATTACTATTACTATTACTATTACTATTACTATTACTATTACTATTACTATTACTATTACTATTACTATTACTATTACTATTACTATTACTATTACTATTACTATACTATTACTATTACTATTACTATTACTATTACTATTACTATTACTATTAC